TAGTTTGATCTAGTCCCATTTGTCTATTTTCACTTTTGTTGGCTGTGTTTTTGGTGTCATCTCAATGAAATTATCCAAGTCTGATGTCATGACGCTTTTCCTCTATGTTTTCTTCTAGGAGTTTACAGCTTCAGGTCTTATTTTTAAGTCTTTAATCTATTTTCAGCTGATTTTTCTCTATGGTGTAAAATATGGGTCCAAATTCATTCTTTCGCATGTGGCTATCCAGTTTTCCCAACAACATTTGTTGAAAAGACTGTCTTCCCCATTGTGCATTCTTGGCACCCTTGTAGAAGATCATTTGACCTTATGGGTAAGGATTTATTTCTGGCTTCTCTATTCTATTCCATTGCTCTATGTGTCTGCCTTTATGCCAAAACTATAATGTTTTATTTACTATTGCTTTGCAGTATATTTGGTCAGGAAGTGTGAGGTCTCCAACTTTGTTCCTTCTAAAGATTATTTTGGCTATTTGGGTTATTGTGTGCTTCCACAAGAATTTTAGAGTTTTTTCTATTTCTGTAAAAATATGCCATTTGGTTTTTGATAGAAATTGCATTGAATCTATAGATCACTTTGAGTAGAATGGACACTTCAGTAGTAATGTCTTCTTTTTTTAAAAAAACTTATTTTGGCTGCATTAGGTCTTCATTGCTGCATGCAGGCTTTAGTTGCATCGAGCAGGGGCTACTCTTTGTTGCAGTGCACTGGTGGCTCATTGCAGTGGCTTCTCTTGTTGCAGAGCACGGGCTCTAGGTGTGCAGGCTTCAGTAGTTGTGGCACACTGGCTCAGTAGTTGTGGCACACGAGCTTTAGAGTGCAGGCTCAGTAGTTGTGGCGCATGGGCTTAGTTGCTCCGTGGCATGTGGGATATTCCTGAACCAGGGCTCATACCTGTGTCCCCTGCATTGGCAGGCGGATTCTTAACCATTGTGCCACCAGGGAAGCCCAGTAGTAATGTGTTCTAATCCATGAACATGGGATGTCTTTCCATTTGTGTCTTCTTTTATTTCTTTCATCAATTTTTAATTTTTCAGTTTATAAGTCATTCACCTCCTTAGTTAAGTTTATTACTAAGTATTCTGTTCTTTTTGATGCTATTGTAAGGGAATTTTTCCCTTAATTTTCTTTTCACACAGTACATAGTTGGTGTATAGAAATGCAAATAATTTGTGTATGTTGATTTTTTTGTCCTGCCACTTCACTGAATTCATTTATTAGTCTAACAGTTTGTATATGTCTCTGTGTGTGTGTGTGTGTGTGTGTGTGTGTGTGTGTGTGTGTAACCTTTAGGGTTTTCTAAGTATAAGATGAGGTCATCTACAAACAGAAGTAATTTTACTTCTTTCTTTCTGATTTGGATGCTCTTTATTTCTATTTCTTGCCTAATTGCTCTAGCTAGGACTTGCAGTACTATGTTGAATAGAAGTGCAAGAGTAGGAACCCTTGCCTTTTGCCTTATCTTAGAAGAAAAGCTTTTAGTTTTTCACTGCTGAGTATGATGTTAGCTGTGGCATTTTCATATATGATCTTTATTATGTTAAGGTTATGTTAATTTATTTTTATTCCTAGTGTTTTGGAATGAAAACATGTTGAATATTGTCAAATGCTTTTTTTGCATTTATTATGATAATATTTTGATTTTAAACTTGTTCTGTTAATGTGGTGTACCATACTGAGTGATTTAGGTATGCTGAACCTTCCTTTCGTCCCACAGATAATGTTCACTTGATCATGGTGTATGATCCTTTTAATGTCTTATTGAATTTGTTCGTAATATATTGTTGAGGAATTTTGCCTCTATATTTATCTGTAATATTGATTTTTAGTTTTCTTATCTGGTTTGGATATCAGATGAGGGTAACACTGACCTCATAAAATGAGTTTGCAGTTGTTGCCCGCTTATCAATTTTTTGGAAAAGTGTGATAAGGATTGGCATCATTTCTTTTTTAAATGTTTGGTATAACTCATTAGTGAAGACATCTGGTCCTGGGCTTTTCTTTGTCGGGAGGTTTTTAATTATTGTTTCAATCTTCTTGTTAGTTATAAGTCTGTTCAGACTTTCTCTTTCTTCATGATTCAGTCTTGGTAAGTTGTAGTTTTCTAGAAATTTATGCATTTTTTTCTAGTTTATCCAGTTTCTTGGCAAATAATTGTTCATAGCAATATCTTATGATTCCTTTTACTTCTGTGGCATCAACTATACTGTCTCCTTTTTCATTTCTGATTTTATTTATTTGTGTCCTGTCTCTTTTCTTCCTTTGTTAATCTAGCTAAAGGTTTGTCAATTTTGTTTATTTTCTTCAAAAAACCAACTCCTGTACTTCCCTGGTGGTGCAGTGGTTAAGAATCTGCCTGTCGGGGCTTCCCTGGTGGCACAGTGGTTGAGAGTCTGCCTGCTGATGCAGGGGACATGGGTTCGTGCCCTGGTCCGGGAAGATCCCACATGCCATGGAGCAACTAAGCCCATGTGCCACAACTACTGAGCCTGAGCTCTACAGCCCATGAGCCACAACTACTGAGCCTGCATGCTGCAACTACTGAAGCCCACATGCCTAGAGCCCATGCTCCACAACAAGAGAAGCCACCACAATGAGAAGCCTGTGCACCACAATGAAGAGTAGCCCCCACTCATGGCAACTAGAGAAAGTCCGTGTGCAGCAATGAAAACCCAACGCAGCCAAAAATAACTAAATAAAATAAATAAATTAATTAAAAAAAACAGAATAGGTTTTAAAAAAACACCTAGTTTTAGTGATTTTTCTATTTATTTTGTTTATTTCTGCTCTAATTTTTATTGTTTCCTTTCCTCTGATAATACTTGACTTAGCTTTTCTTTTTGTAGCTCCTTGTGGTGTAAAGTTAGATTGTTTATTAGAGTTTTTTTTCTTTTTTAATGTAAGTGTTTATTGCCATACACTTCCCTCTTAGAACTGCTTTTGCTGCATCTCATAAGTTTTGGTGTGTTGTATTTTCATTCATCTGAAGATATTCTCTAATTTGTCTTTTAATTTCTTCTTTGACCTATTATTCGTTCAAACTGTACTATTTAATCTCCAAATATTTATTAATTTTCTAGTTTTCCTTCTGTTGTTGATCTCTACTTTCATTCCATAGCAGTCAGAAAAGATACTTGGTATGACTTAAGTCTTCTTGTTTGTTAAGGCTTGTTTTGTGTCTTAACATGTGAGCTATACTGGATAAGGTTCAATGTGCAACTGAGAAGAACATATATTCTGTTCCTGTTGGGTAGAATGTTCTGTATATGTCTGTTAGATTCATGTGGTCTGTAGTGTTGTTCAAGTTCCCTGTTTGCTGATTTTCTGTCTGATTGATCTGTCCATTATTGAAAATGGGATATTGAAATCCCCTATTATTAATGTACTTCTGTCTGTTTTTTTCTTCAGTTCTGTCAGTGTTTGCTTTATATATTTAAGTGTTCTATTGTTGGATGCACATATATTTATAATTATTATATATTACTGTTAAATTGATTTCTTTATCATTATATACTGTTCTTTTTTCTCTTGTGATGATTTTTGGCTTAAAATGTATTTTGTCTCATATCTCGTATAAGTATAGCTGCTTCTGCTCTCTTTTGGCTGCCATTACATAGAATATATTTTTCTACTCTTTCACTTTCAGCTTGTGTGTGTCCTTAAATATAAAGTGAGGTTTTTTGTTTATTTGTTTGTTTATTTTGTAGACAGCATATATTCATATCTTTGGGTTAAATTTTTACCATTCTTCTAGATTCCCACAGTGGAAGCCTATTTATTTTATTTCAAAACTTCCTTAATGTACACTAAAGCTATAAATTTTCTTCTAAATGCAGCTTAAGATATGTCCCAAAATTTTTAGTAAGTTGTGCTTTCATTGTCATTGAATTTCTACAATTTTCTAATATCCTTTGCAACTTCTTCCTTAACAATTGGTGGTTTAGAATTAAATTGTTTAATTTGCAGATACTCATTGCCTTTATAGGTGCTTTATTGATGTTTATTTCTAATTTAATTACATGCTAATCAAAGAACATATCTATGATATTTCAATCTTTTAAAATAAATTTTGTTTCATTTTATGTCAATTTTATAAGAAATTTGAGAATAAATGTTACTTGTTAAGTCTGGCAAACCTACCGTTAAGAAACATGCATTATATTTCATATGAAAAGCCAATTCCCACCAAGTCTGCCCAGCAAACCTATGTGATGTCTAATGGTTTAGAAGGCTCAAATGTTTCAAGTAGTCAGGAAGGTCAGTTTCTGCCAGGCCAGGAATCTTACACGTTTTGTGAGACATCAAAGAGAGGAATTCAGCCTCATTTATAAGTAGAGCAGGTGAAATCCACTGGAGGTAAATTTCTTAGTTACTTTTCAATTTCCCAAAAAACAAAGAAAACAATAATAACAACATAATAATGGGAAGATCCCTGGACATTCACAATATATTTATAAAAGCTCCAAAGTGAAGTTAATGGAATGAAGATGAGGAGGCATATATATGTAGTAAAACCTCTTGTTGCACTTATTAAAAACAAGAACAGGCTAACCATAATGAAAGTAGCCTGTCTTTGTGTGATCAAGAATAACCTTTGCAGATTATTTATGATCACAAGAATTACTGTTAGGGAAAAGTTGCCCAAGAATTGGTGATAGACAAGAAGAATTACGGGGTGTTCCTTAGGGGTCTATTGGGTGTGTCTAGCAGGCTCATCTGGGATTATCTGATTCTGTACATGTGTGAGTATCTTTGACTTACTCTTTGCTACTGATTAGTGCATTTTACGATGCTGTAAGGATAGATATTAGCCTGTAGAAAACTGATATTTACAAATAGTTTTTGTGTGAAAGCAAAGAAAATTAATTTTGTCTGGTAGAGATATTAGGAGTTTCTGGGTTTTGTCCAGTTTAGAAGATTACAACCTCAAACCTATGGTTTTATTTTGTGTGTAAATTAGAAATCTTACTTGAATATTCTTTTCCTCAACCTTTTTGTAGGCATAACTTGGAGATATTTCGGGCTCAGTTGCAGACCACCATGATAAAGCAAATTCACAATAAAGTGAGTCACACAATTTTTTTTGTTTTCCAGTGTATATAAAAGTTATGTTTACACTATAGTCTATTAAGTATATAATAGCTATGTCTAAAACAAGTACCTACCTTAATTGAAAAATACTGCTAAAAATTGCTAACCATCATCTGAGCCTTTAGTAAGTCATAGTAGTAGCATCAAAGATCACTGATCACAGGTTACCGTACAAATGTAATAATAATAAAAAAGTTTGAAATATTGTTAGAATTACCACTATGTGATACAGACATTAAAAGTGAGCAAATGCTGTTGGAAAAAATGGCTCCAATAAATTTGCTCTAAGCAGGGTTGCTGCAAACCTTCAATATGTAAAAAGTGCAGTATTTTCAAAGTGCAGTAAAGCAAAGCATAATAAAATGAGGTATGCCTGTAAATACTTCCATTTATCTAATTCCCTTTGAAGGGGGTTTACTATTCTGCTGGTTCCTTTATACACTAGTTAAGCAAACTTTTTGATGGAGCTTTATACTAAACAAACAAAAAATGTGGTATTTGACAAACAACTGATAGAGAATCCTAAAAGTAATTTTTTTAAAAAAAATAATAGAAAATAGATTTTAGGCAAATGGAAAAAAATAATTTTACTAGATAACAATTAAAGTATCAGAATAAATTACAATACTTTTAAATATAATACAGTTTAAAACTCAAGCTTTTAAAAGGAAAATGATGTTCATAATTTCTATTGTGGATGTATGTTTTTGGATGCTTGTTATTTTCAATTTTTTTCTTTTATGGAGTTTCTAAATTTTCTATTATGAGAATTTATTCTGTACATAGTCAGAGAATATTATTTTACATTGAATATATATGGGAAAATGGACAAAATGAAACAGAATGTAATGGAAAGTCTTTATCTTTGACATTTTTGTCTGTGATGTCATATGTTTATTTAAATAGCAACATAGAAAGGTAATGTAAGTCTATAGATTATAGGACTTACAGAGTAATCTACTATAATTACTATTGATCAGGTCTTTATTGAAATTTTATTGTCATGATGGACAACTTAGAAACCTAAGAGTGAAAACAATTGATTAAAATTTAGGGGAAATAGCTCTCTGAGGAGACATTATAGTTTGTAGTTTGACATGATGGAATGCTTTAAATAAATACTGCCTTTCATCAACATCACAGCTGTCTATTTTATCCATGTGCTTATACTGAGCCTATTTCACAGATGAAAAGATTGTAGATTGGAGGAGTCTTGTGCTAAAGTCATATAGTAAACAAATCGCCTATTAGTTTCTGTCAGCTTCATGAAGGATATTCTCATTCTTTTATAATTTTTATATCCATTATGCCTTTGAATATAATAGAAATACGTTTACATTGACATCTGACTTCAAATGAAAGCTATATTTTCCATGATTCTGAACTGTTTTGCTGGCCATCAAGTCTCTAATGAAATCAAGGTTATCTTTGGAAAGTCCAGTAAGCACAGCGGCTCCCACCCTCACCTGTCTCTGTCAGCCTAATTTTTGGACAAGAGTGGGTTAGGCTGTGAAACCATTTCAGCTGCTTTGCTTTTGCTGCTAGGAGAGGCTCAATTGATGTAGAGCACTGTCAGTTAAAGTGTGATCTTAGTGACAAGCAAACAGGAGAACTGTAGGCTCCACTAGCCTGAGGTTGTGGTTTTGTTTGGCGAAAGCAGTGGACACGTGGATTTGTTGGGGAATTCAAAAGGGAACTCTAGGTGTGAGATAGCCATATCTTAGCCAAAATTGACGTTATTCCCATATCCTGAGTTGATGAAAAATTGTGTATATATACAACAAAGACTATAGTGGGCCCAAGCTACCAACATGTTCTTGGCCAACAGAGACCGTGTGCTCACACAAAGATGTAAGAAAACCCCATGGGAAATAAAATATCAAGCAGACTTGAGAATGACATGTTGGTCCTTTCTACAACTATATAAAGTGAAATGTTTTTATAATGTTTATAGCTATTGTGAAATTCGGTTGAGAATATTTTGCTTTCCTAAAGGGTTACATTTGGAATAATCATGTATAAAAAAGTTGATCCTTACTAAGAAGATATCTATTTCTCCTGAACTTGAAGTGAAAGTGATGGGTGTGTTAATTATATATAATAAAAATATGTTGAAAATGTATTAAAATAAGCCTAATCCCTACTTAAACATTAGCTTCATTTATTTCACTTTAACTATTTATGTTGAATTTTAAGCAGTTATGGCAGACTGACCTTACCCTTGGTGGACAGTTCAAAAACTGCTGCTCACATGATTTCATTACCTCTGACAAGACAAAATGTCTGTTGTAAATAGTTATACTGTTCATTCATTACATTGTTAAGCATTTAATATAAAGACTATCGATATATCAAACTGTGTCTAGAATTCTTTGGTTTTAAAGAAAAACTGAGACTGGGAGAACCTAACAAGTGCCAAGAATCAGTAGTAAAGTAAATAATCAATTATGGAGGCATGGTTGGATTTCAAGTAACCCAAACATGAAAATAATGCATTTTTCACATTTACATTTGTACTAACTCCTAGTGACTAGGACAGTGTCTTCTCAGATAGATGTTGTCTTTCTGAGGTCTAAATGTAGAAACTTTCACTGCCTCATCGTGTTTATGTGCATAGGTAGAATAGGTGAAACACCTTAAAGGGCTATTCAATTTTCATTCCTATTACCTAGACATTTTTATCTGGATTTTCTTTAATTAGTTTCATTGTTTTGGTGTTTCAGTATAAAATTGCAATAATAATGCATTTAAAGTGATAAAATAGGAGAACAAAATTAAATACAACAGAAAAACAAGTAGACAGTGAGAAATACTATGACAAATAACCAAATACTTTTTGCCATGCACACATATTGCATAAGTGAAAAATGACTCAGATTACTCTTAATGTGGATCAAATCATAAATTGCCACCGTAAGCAACATCACTTCTAATATTTGTCCAAATCATCATACTGATTTCTCAATTAACTGTAATGAATGTATGCCCTCCTGTGTGGTACACAGTTGAGGAACACCAGATGAATATTAACTATGATGTTGATTAGAAAGTAGTAACAGAAGAAACAGGGCTTGTCAATTTGTCAGCACACTAGTGTAACAACCTTTCCTATGTCAAAGCAGATCAAATAATGAAATTTAGGAAGAAGTGCTGTACAGATACCCAAACTGTCAACCATGTGTGCTGTGAGCTAATGAAAAACATGTATGCTTATCTTGATATACTTGGATGAAGAATTGCCAAGAAAAACTACTGTTGCAATTACTCTTCTGTTTATAACAAATCAATTATTGGTAAATAGATAACAAAATGTGGACTGAAAAACTAAGGTAATGAGATAAATGTACTGAGGAATTATTCTAGACTGTAGTTTGAATACAACTATATACTTTTCTGGAAGTGAAAAGCTATGTTTTCTTAATAGGATAACTATAAAAATATTTGAAGAGATTTACAAGTATTTTAGACTTCAATCAGTATACTGCTGGAATGCTTTGACAGGTAGATTTTGTTTGTTTTTAATCAAAGGAAATACGTACATAGTTGGATCTTCGATTATGAATGCCAGAAGCATTTTGCCATATAGCAGAATATGTTGAAGAGACATTATGTTAATCTATCAAGGAAGCCTTAACAGACATATAGTACACATATGTAATGCAAGCAGTAGTCATATTCTAGAGATGTTATGGAATTTGCATGGTATTTTTTCTCATGATAAAATGAAATAGGATGAGGTTACCTGTGGTATCAGCTTTGTATTGGAATAGTTAAGCCTTCCATAATTTGAGCATAATATGAAACTAAACATTGAAAACCAGTATGTAGCTTTTATTTATTACCAAAGATATTACTTTACAATGAGTTTGTGTTGCATTTAATTATCTATGGGTATAGTGTTCCTAAACTCTTAAAAAATAAATTCTAAGTAACACTTAAAAGGATGTTTTTTAAGACCCCATCAATTATTTTTACTCTATTTAAAAAATTTTTCAGTCTATATATTTTTAACTATTCTATTAAATCATCATACTTCTTAAGGATCACAGTCCCTTAATTCTTCTCGAACATACAGTTATAACTATCTCAGCTTGCTGCTTTGTTGAACCTCTGGAACTAGATGTCATCTGTCTCCTAGGTTCAATCCTGTTTCCAATATCAGGTTTACTTCCCTGTAAGCCTAGTAAAGGTCATTTGGACTGTAAGATTTTGCATCTTAGAAACTTTATTCTGTTGTCATACTTGATAATTTATTTGCGAATAGGATTCAAAAGTGAAAATAATTTTTTAGATTTACATGTTATTCAGAGAGCCCTCTCTATGTGAATATGTGTTTCCTCTGGCTATAAGAAACTTGCATATTCTCCATTTAAAATTTTTCTTTGCTCTATTTTCTCTATTCCCTTTTTGAGATAGGTGCTCTATCTTTTAATTCTCTTAAATAGTTTCTGGGCTTTTTTGTCTATTCTGTGAGATTATTTTTGGATTTTATATCAGTCTTTGACTTTTTAATGTAAGTAACAATTAGTAAATATCTAAATTTATTTATTTCAAGTTAATTTTTATAAAATTTGGGGGTTTTTTGGTGGTTGCAATATTTTCTTTAAGATGTCAGATAATTTATTTTAAATTGCCTTCTGTTGCCCAAATATCTCTTTCCTTGATGTTTTTGTTCTTTCTTTTTTTAAAACCACATTCCTTATCTTTTATGTTGTAGGTTTTCTCAGATTTCTGGTGATCTTTCTCTATTTTCCTATAAAAATAAAATGATACCATAAAAAGTTTAGAGTTCTGTGTGTGTATGGGGACTGTTGACCAAAGAACTTGACTTCTTTAAACTGTGGGGGCTGAAGGCTCTGACCTTTAAATTGTGGGATTCCTGCATGCTTCTATGCAGATTCCTTTCCTGATCACTTTCAGTCTTAGGTTTCATAGAGCAAATCATTCCAATATTTTGATAGTAACCCTCAAAC